CTACTATCTCCATATGATTCGTGAACGTATCTGATCAACGCCGTTATAATCATCCCGTTAAAGACGACGTTTGATGCAGTCAAGACACGCCACTCCTCATATCAGATACTCTAGACATCTCAGGTCTGAGGATCTAAGAACGAACCACTGTATGAGATTCAAGTAATGACTCTGTCCATTGACAATCTCATGCGGGTCATCCAGTCATTCGTTCTCAACGAGTACCCATGATTGTGATATGCATCAAATGCATCGATCATACGTCATGCTAGTCTTAATTTATCATTGTTCCCACAATGACAACTAACTAGGGAGTTTAGAATCATTCTCTAATGATTTAAGGATATCGAAATATAACAAACATGTCAATCATATAACGGGAAGAGTAATGCATTCATAAACCAATGAATCGATACAAAGTCAAATGTCATATCACAGATCATCCTAGAGCATTACAACCAACAATCTCCCACTATGCTCTCTATGATCTATCCTACAAGTATCTAATCCCCATACCCCTAACATGATCTTCATGCTTAGACGAAGGGAGAGGCTTCGTCAATGGGTCGAAAATATTATCGTCTGTCGACACTCTGCTTATCTTCACATCTCCTCTGTCGATGATTTCTCTGATCAAGTGAAATCGCCTGAGTATGTGTTTGGATCTCTGGTGTGACCGGGGTTCCTTAGCTTGCGCAATCGCACCATTATTGTCATAGTACAACTCAATGGGATCTGCAATGCTAGGAATGACGCCCAGGTCTCCCACGAATTTCCTAATCCAAACAGCTTCCTTAGCTACATCTGATAATGCTATGTACTCGGCTTCTGTAGTCGAATCTGCCACGGTTGGCTGTTTGGAACTCTTCCAACTGATAGCCGTTCAGGCAGAAAACCTAACCTGACTGCGATCTGAAATCATCTCTGTCGGTCTGGAAACTAGCATCGGTATAACCACTTATAGCGAACTCGTCTTCCAATCCACCATACACCAAGAACAAATCCTTAGTCCTTCTCAAGTACTTAAGGATGTTCTTGACTGCAATCCAGTGAGCCTCACTTGGTGTAGACTGATATCTACTAGTCATGCTCAATACATATGATACATCCGGACGAGTACACAATATGACGTACATGATGGATCCAATTGTCGAAGCATATGGAATCCTACTCATGCGCTAATGCTCATCCTGTGTCTTTGGACGCTGAGTCTTGCTAAGAGCCATGTCATATCCCATTGGCAAGGCACCCCTCTTGGAGTCTTGCATCCTGAACCGATTCAAGACCTTGTCAATGTATGTACTCTAACTTAGGCCAAGAAGCCTTCTTGATCTATCTCTATAGATCTTGATGCCTAAAATATAGGCGACTTCTCCTAAGTCCTTCATCGAAAAGACCGATCCTAGCCAGAATTTCACTCCTTGCAAAGTAGGAACGTCATTTCCGATGAGCAATATATCATCTACATAAAGCAAAGGAAGATCACTGCGCTCCCACTGACCTTCTTGTAAACGCATGACTCATCTTCATTTTGCAGGAAGCCAAACGTTTTGACTGCCTCGTCAAATCGAAGATTCCAGCTCCTCGAAGCCTGTTTCAGTCCATAAAGCTTGCACATCTTCCTCGGACTCCTAGGATCGACAAAACCCTCGGGTTGTGTCATGTACACATCCTCGAGCAGATTCCCGTTAAGGAATGCGGTCTTGACGTCCATCTGCCATATCTCGTAGTCATAATACGCAGCTATAGCTAACAGAATCCGTATGGATTTAAGCATCACGACTGGTGAAAAGGTTTCATCATAGTCTATACCATGAATCTGCAGAAATCCTTTCGCGACGAGTCGTGCTTTATAGGTATGCACGATGCCATCCATGTCGGTTTTCTTCTTGAAAACCCACTTACATCCAATGGTTTTAATACCATCGAACGAGTCGACCAAAGTCCACACACTTTGTTGTCGTACATGGATTGCATCTCTGAGTTCGGGCTCCTTGGGCTGACCAAACGTGAAACAATATCATTTTTCATACTCGTTTCGGTCAAATCTCATTTCCATTCTTCGGATTCTTCACGTATAAGTCTATCCCTAGTGGTGTGTGACCCTGCAGGCCCATTTTAAGTGGTAGTGGCTTCGGTAACCTTTTTCGAATCACAAGTCATGGTTAACCTCTAGCAAGACGCCATGACCACCCACCTAGAATTGAGTTAGATGTGATCTAACTAAGGCATTAACAGTTCAAGTTCTGATCTTTTGTCTCACGATATCATTTGTTGAACAAGGGCATGGTTAGAGCCACCCTTTAAGTTCAACCGCTTTCTCATATTGGCAAATCGACTAATAAAATAGATGCAACTTCATCTATAGTGTGGCCACGCGTTTTTCACAGTCCGATTTCCATGAGGGACCCAGCAACATCTCTCTCGTTAAGGAGGTGACCGTTCTGTTTTGCATATCTACTATCTCTATATGATTTGTGAACATATCTGAGCAACGACGTTATCATCATCCGGTTAAAGACGACGTTTGACGCAGTCAAGACACACCACTCTTCATATCAAATACTCTAGACATCTCAGGTCTAAGGATTCAAGAACGAACCGCTGAATGAGATTCAAGTCATGACTCTATCCATGTGACAATCTCATGCGAGTCATCCACTCACTTGTTCCTAACGGGTACCCATGATTGTGATATGCATCCAATGCATCGATCACACCTCATACTAGTCTTAATTCATCATCGTTCCCACAATGATAACTGACCAGGGAGTTTAGAATCATTCTCTAATGATTCAAGGATATCTACCGAAATATAACAAACATGCCAATCATATAACGGGAAAAATAATGCATTCATAAACCAATGAATCAATACATAGTCAAAATGTCATATCCAAGATCATCATAGAGCATTACAACCAACATTTTCATGCCTTGGAAAGAACACCTCTCAGCATATATCGGTCTATTGAGGGAGTTTAGCCATGACGCCTAGTTTTTATAATGACAACCCACACTTTCATTTTCACTCTAAACCCCATTAGACTTGGAAACGTAAAGAAACTTGTTTTACCTCTAACTTTGGATGCATTATTAAAGATCATCATCACGATATATACATCTAGGATTCCTTATCGGTCCAAGGACCGATGTAAGTTTAAACATCGCATTTCCGACTGATGTTTTATGTATTTAGGAGTACCTTGATCACACATTTTGTGTATAGGTGCAGGCGAACACAAACAATTTGTTGGACTAATCATAGAAGCCTAACATTATCGTCTTAAATTTCACATGAAGATATTCACCGACGTACGTTGAATTGATGAATGCGGGTAACGATTTTTCTCGTCCTATTGGTTTTATTGAATGCTTTTGTTCACTATATGAGAAATCCATGAGTTTTCTAATTTCGTGCGTTTGTTTGCCAGTCTCAATTGTAAGTAGTTGCAGAGTTCGTGTAGCATCCTTCCTCTTTTCATCCAAGTGAACGGTTTTCCCATTTTCCGTCATTGTCCACCATGAGGTTTTATTTTCCTTGTCTATATTGGAAGTAAGGGTGAGCGTTTTGAATCCTACCGAAACAAAAAAATGCGGTATTTTTTAATCCGAACCATCCAAAATTTTCGAACGATGTTATTTTTAAAAAACCGAATTTTTCGAAATCAAAGCGAATTTTAAAAAACTCGAAAACTGAAAATTTCTTAAGAAAATATATATTTTTAGATAAAAACCGAAATTGAAACCAAGCCAAACCGAATGTGATATAATAACCGATGATACATATTTTCGTAAAAACCAAAAGAATTGAATCAAACTATTCGCGAAGCGAACTCGGACTGAATACCGAAACCCCACTCTCAATTGCAAGTTCTTTGCATCTCGAAAGGATAATTCTAATTATAGTAACTTTATTTATAGTATGTGATAGGGGTGGGCGATCGGGCGAGTTCGGCTTAATCGGGTTCGGTTATTTCGGGTTCGGGTATTTCGGATTTGAAATATTCATATCCAATTGGGTATATTTTTTAATCGGTTCGGTTCAGATTTGGTTTGGTTCGGATCGGGTTCAGTTCGGGTTATGCAAACAAAAAAACAATAAAAAAATTCAAACAATTATCTTATAAAAATAGCAAAAACAATATTAAAATACATGCTTATTTCGTTTTTTTATATACCGTGGTTATAAAACGATATCATTACACTAATTTTTCTAATTAGATTTAGAATATATTACATATTAATCGATGATATATGAATGGATAAACGGATATATTCGGTTACGGTTAATTCGAGGTTGGTTTATTCGGTTTACGGTTATTTCGGGTTCGAGTATTTTGGGTTTGAAATATTCATATCCAATCGGGTATATTATTTTAATCGGTTCGGTTCTGTTCGAATATTTATCGATCGGGTCCTGTTCGGTTATTTCGGGTTCGGATATTTTGGTCTCCCTAGTATGGGATAAAGATAGATGTTTTGGTTCATATACAAAATTATTTGAACAAATCCGATTTTAAGATGTCTATAAGATTTTTTAAAATTTTAAATAATCGGAGTATGAGTTAAATATGAAAATTATGGAGGAGATTGAATTCAGATTTTTTTCTCAAAATAAAATTTTATTAATAAATATGCAATTAAGGGTAAATGAGACTGAGTTGATCTAGTTTTACAATTTCAAAGAGAAAATACGACTTTATTATTTCGAATGAAAACATAACCTAATAGCAAACCTAAATCATCAATTCATAAGTAAAGATATCTTACGGGCAAATATTTTGAATTTGGTATTGTAAAATAGAATTAAATAATATATCGATTTTATGATTTTATCCCATAATTTGATTTTACGTTATTTTTGTATTATTAATTTTATCCAATGGGATTCATAAAATATAATTTTTCTGCAAGCCATTCGTAATTAGACATTTAAAAAAAAATGTTTGTTGTTCTAAAAGGATCAATATTTTGAAATGTTTGCTTTTTCTTCTTCAGATTCGATTGAAAATTTCGGATGGTCTCTCTGTATCTCTATCCACACAAAACCCCACCAAAACCCATATCTGGATCTCACCCACACACCCCTGTGCTTGCGCTACTGTGATGCCCTTCATAGCCACGCCGACGCCTCTCAGCCTCTCCTCGCTGCCCACGAGCCTCGCTGTCCCATCCGTCTTCTACGGCCATTGGAGAGACGCTTCTACTCACCGCCGTCGTCGTCGCCGGCGGCTCCTGGTGGTTTCTTCCGCTGCCGCCGGAGCTAAACCTACGGTTCTCGTGGCGGAGAAGATCGGGGAAGCGGGTCTCGAGCTCTTGAAGGGATTTGCGAACGTCGACTGCTCGTATAACCTGAGCCCAGAAGAGCTGTGCACGAAGATCTCTCTCTGCGACGCGCTAATCGTGAGGAGTGGAACGAAGGTTGGTCGAGACGTGTTCGAGTCGTCGAACGGGAGGCTCAAGGTCGTGGGCCGTGCCGGAGTTGGGATAGACAATGTGGATCTCGCGGCAGCGACGGAGTACGGGTGTTTAGTAGTGAATGCTCCGACGGCGAACACGATGGCTGCGGCGGAGCACGCGGTCGCCCTCTTGACCGCCATGGCTAGGAATGTTGCTCAAGCTGATGCCTCTGTCAAGGCCGGTGAGTTTTAACATTCCTTTTGAATTCTGGATATGTGATGGGTGAATATTGAATGATTGATGGAGTTCCTGTATCTGGTATTTGATGAATGATGAATCTTGAATTGAATGATTGGTGATTTAAGCATAGTTCTTGTTCTTAGCTGATGACAAATGCAAAACTCTTGATAGCCAATTGTTCGAATCTTGAATTAGAACCAAATTACTCTCGAGGGAGGTTAAAGGTTTTAAGAGGAGTGCCAAACAACGCTAATTGAAATATCGAAGAACGCGTGTTTTCACAGCTTTGTTCTCCTATGATTTTAGTTCGGGAGGACGTACGACTTTGCTAGTTTATGTATCTATCCATTTCTTTGCTAGTTTACAGGTTTTTCTGCCTTTGTAATGCCTCATGAAACGTTTAGGAAATGGTACATCATGTAGAGTGTCAATCATGCAGGAAAGTGGCTAAGAAACAAATATGTTGGGGTTTCACTTGTTGGGAAGACTCTTTCTGTGTTGGGTTTCGGGAAGGTTGGATCAGAAGTTGCCAGGCGCGCGAAAGGATTGGGGATGTATGTGATTGCCCATGATCCCTACGCCCCAGCAGATCGTGCACGGGCCATTGGAGTAGACCTCGTAAGCTTTGACGAAGCAATATCAACAGCAGACTTCATCTCTTTGCATATGCCTCTTACTGCTGCTACATCAAAGATGCTGAACGATGAAACTTTCTTGGAAATGAAGAAAGGAGTTCGCATTGTCAATGTTGCCCGGGGAGGAGTCATCGATGAAGAAGCTCTCTTGAGAGCCCTTGACTCGGGTATTGTTGCTCAGGCAGCTCTTGATGTTTTCGTGGAGGAGCCCCCGGCTAAAGACAGCAAGTTGGTATTGCACGAGCTGGTCACTGCTACACCCCATCTCGGTGCTAGTACTCTGGAAGCTCAGGTATGTTAAGGACTTTGCATAATTAAATATACGTTATCCTCACTGTATTCTGTTGTTTCCAAGGCATTGGCTAAGAAACTAAGTATTGGCCTGAATTCCAGGAAGGAGTAGCCATTGAAATTGTTGAAGCTGTTGTTGGAGCTCTGAAAGGGGAACTTGCTGCTACCGCAGTGAATGCACCAATGGTTCCACCAGAGGTAATGGCACCTTGTTACACACTCTGTTAGGTGTCAATTTATGTGTCTTCCAAAGATTTTATCATCTCGGTTCAAGCTGGAAGGATTGTACATATTCTTTTGGTTGTTCGGCTCTCGGGGATCCTACGTTAAGAGGGCTCTCCTTTAACGCTTTAACGCTTCATTATAGGCTTCATCCTGCTGCTCTTTTGATTTTGTACTTTACTCTTATTTCATTTCTGATTGGGGGATGATTTTCTTGGCAAAAAAACGTTGTCATATGTAATTTTATGTGCAGATTATCTGATTTTGTCCCTCGCCACCCGTTTTTAGGTATTGAAGGAGCTGAAACCATATGTTGAGCTTGCTGAGAAAGTCGGAAGACTGGCTGTTCAATTGGTAACAGGAGGAAGTGGTGTCAAGACTGTGAGAGTAACCTATGCTTCTTCTCGAGCACCCGATGATCTTGACACAAGACTCCTCCGTGCCATGATAACCAAAGGACTCATCGAACCCATTTCCAGCGTTTTCGTAAACCTTGTCAATGCAGATTACACGGCTAAACAACGAGGAGTCCGAATCTCGGAAGAACGTGTAATCCTCGATGGATCACTGGAGAATCCTCTTGAATACATAACTGTTCAGATAGCAAATGTGGAGTCGAGATTTGCCAGTGCGTTGTCGGAGTACGGAGAGATCAAAGTAGAGGGTCGGGTGAAAGAGGGCGTTCCTCGGCTCACAAAGGTCGGGTTGTTCGGAGTGGATGTGAGTCTTGAAGGTAGTCTTATACTGTGTAAGCAGGTTGATCAACCTGGTATGATTGGTAAAGTTGGTAGCATTTTAGGGGAAGAGAATGTGAATGTGAACTTCATGAGCGTCGGGAGGATTGCTCCGGGAAAGCAGGCGGTGATGGCCATCGGAGTAGACGAGCACCCGAGCAAAGAAACTCTCAAGAAAATCGGAAGCATTTCCGCCATTGAAGAGTTTGTTTTCCTCAAACTGTAAATATATTATGTCCCTGATATGTGCATTTATCGTATATACATAATTGATGAGTCTGTTTCCCACAAAGTAACTTCAAAGAAATCCTCCAATGGGTTCTTATGGGCAAAAAACCCTAATTCGACCGAATCTGACCCGAAAATCGGGTATGCATATATCTTCTGGTTATCTCTGGGTGAAGGCATCTTCTTTCGTGTGTGAATTTTTTGGTAGGGATACCGAACCGAAATTTAAAAAACCCGAAAATCAGAATTTTTTTAAGAATATCTATTTTTTTTAATAAAAATCAGATCCGAACTGAATCGAATATGATATAATAACTGATTGGTAAATATTTTTGTAAAATGAAAAGAACCTAACCGTTCCCGAACCCAAACCGAATACCGAAACCCCCCGTCCTAATTTTTGGTGTTAAGCTTCCGATTTTTTTTTTATGTTGTTAGAAAGAGAATGTTTTCTCTCGAGCTATTCAATAAAATAGAAATAATAAACCAAGTTCAATTACAAATGAAACATAACAAAAGTTAAATAACATAGTTAGTTAGTTGCTAAACATGGACTCCTAATTAGGGGCGGCTACTGTTGTTGCTAATCCAAAAATTGAAGAACAGCACGCAATCTTATATAATCCTATATGAACGGAATCTACTGAAAAGTCGAATGGTATAATTAATCAAAATGTCGAATTTAAATGGAATCGAGATTTCAAATAGAAATTGAAGCGAATATAAAAAATATTGAATTCCTTTTTTTTTTAAAGGAGTAAGTAAATGTTGAATGTCGCAATATTTTTGAAAAAATACCCTACGGTTTGTGGACGAGTGGTCAGCAACTGGGTGCAAAGCATTCAGAGGTTGGTGGTTCGATTCCTGGTTGGGGAGGAGTTTTCACATAGGTTGCCCCGGTCTTCTAGGAAATGTAGTTGGGCCAAAGGCCCGGTGAACTTCCAGATTATCAAAAAAAAAATATTTTCGAAAAAACAAACGTGGAATGGAATGAATCTTGCTTCACAATTGAGGTAACAACAAGTTTGGGATTTAGATTAATTAAAATTATGAAAGTAAAACTTACTAATTACATCCCATATAATAAAATCAAAGTTATACGAGAGAAATTAATGAACAAATATTTTCAATAATGTGTAAAATTAATGTAATAGAAACTATTTACCGTTAAAAAAAAGTACACGATAAAATATAAATAGATAATTTCATATGACTTCACACAGTATTCAAACATCAGATAAATAGTTAAGTAATCCAATCTTTTCGTTCAAATGTCAACTATTTTCTCTTATTTCTTCGCCATCACAATCTTGTTCTGTTATTTAATCTTCTTTCTCTTCTTCCATGTCCATCAAAATGTTGTCATTTCCTATACTCAAATATATTGGCTATTAGTTGTTACGTTTTACGACTTCTTCCATGCAATAACTATTAATTATTTTAATATCACTATTTTGCGATTAATATTTAACCAACCGAATACTTCGTTACGATTACTAATTTCGTCTCATTTTGAATCATATTATAATCTTTCTATAACAAAGGAGCTTCAAAGACAAGTTCAAGAACTCTTGGAGAAAGGCTATATCCGTGAGAGCCTTAGTCCTTGTGTCGTGCCGGTATTGTTGGTACCCAAGAAGGATGGAACATGGAGAATGTGCATGGACTATCTTGCAATAAACAACATCACTATCAAGTGCAGACATCCAATTCCACGCCTTGATGATATGTTTGATTAATTAAGTGGAGCAACCATCTTCTCTAAGGTTGATCTCAAGAGCGGATACCATCAAGTGCGAACGGGAAGGTGATGAATGGAAGACGGCGTTTAAGACAAAACAAGGACTCTATGAGTGGCTTGTCATGCCATTCGGTCTTACCGACGCACCCAGCACCTTCATGCGGCTCATGAACCATGTTCTACGAGCTTACGTCGGTAAATTTGTTGTCGTATACTTTGATGACATTCTTATTTACAACAAGAGTTTTGATGATCACATAGTGCATCTTGAGCAACTATTAGAGACCCTCCGAAAGGAAAGTCTTTATGCGAATCTCAAGAAGTGCTTGATAACTCCTAATTCTCTCTATATTTCTAGGACGTTTTTATAGGATTTATATGAGGATCACATTCATTCGTAGGCATTATAGGTGTGTTAGGCTACGAAACTCGGTTTGGTTGTGTTATTATAGGATTACAGGTATTGGATGAGATTTGGACCGAAATGGGAGCGATCTGGAGCTAAAAGGATGAAATGCGTTAAGGACTCCCTATCTTAACTCGGCCAGAGTCAACTGTGGAAAGTGGGCCGAGTCAACATGCTGAAGATGGTTCATTCCAAACCTGTTACGAAGAGTCCGAGTCAGGATGTCCGAGTCAGAATGCCCGACTCAACATGCCCGAGTCAGAAAACTGGGCTGGGTCAAAACTGTTTAGACCCCGTTTTGACTCGGTCGAGTCAGAGTTTTGACTCGATCCGAGTCAAAACCCAGAAAAATCCCAGATTCGAATTTTCAGACTTTGAAGGGGAATAGAACTTCGGGAGCGCCGCCTAGGGTTTATAAAAAGAGCCTAAAGACGTCCAGGAGTAGGAGACAGACTTTATACAGACTTTGGAGAGTTTTGGTGAGAGAAATACGAGTTTTACGGGATTTCGGGAAGAAGAAGAAGAGTTGGAACGTGAAGATCGCTTGCTGTCGACATGAGTCTTTCTTCTCCCTCTTTTGTTTCTGTTTCCGGTTTTATTCTGTGTTTTACCATGAACCGTGAGTAGATCCACGGCTGTGGGTTAGGGATTCGTTTGTGTTTTGGGTATGTTTGAACCCTAACTTGGTTGCGATTTAGATTTGTTTCGGTTTTATCGATTTGCACTTCATGTCAATTGATGTTTGCTGACCCCTTGATCAGTTGTTTTAGATTCTGAACTACATAGGAATATGGGTTTAGTTTCGGATCGAAATCGATAGAATGGATCGTATTATTCACATAGGAATATGGTTTGATCGATCTAGGGTTGATGATAGCGTTCTTCATGCATCTAGTTTGATAAATCACATAGGGATATGGATTTAGAGAACTTTAGATAGTGAGTTATATGCCGGGAGGTGATTTCTCTATTTTTGTTGCTTGATGATTCCCGAATACAGATTCAATATCGTGATTCTCGCATGCTTAGCATATACCCATACACGCGAATACGGTCCCGACACCCACGGTCATCTTTGCTTGATAGTTTACACGTTTTTATTTGCTTTCTTATTTTAGTTATTTTAGATTCCACATACTTCCACCATCATCAATTCCACTTGCTTGCTTTGATCTGGTTTCGATTAGGGTTTAGATTTAGCTACTGGTCCTTGCGTTCAACCCCGTGTTACGACGATCCGTATCTTTGCGGTGAGTTGTGAATCGGGTTATAAATCCTAGATTCGGTACACACGTATCAAGTTTTTGGCGCCGTTGCCGGGGACTGTTTAGCCTATTTCTAGGTCTTTATTGATTCTAGATCTTTGCTTGTTTTTTTTGTGTGGATTCACTTGGTCTCGAGTTCTTCTTTTTCTTTGCGGTTTGCAGGGTTCTAGTGCATGACACGGAGCTCTACTCGGAGAGAAGAC